CAGAGGGGCCTGACAACAGCAGCTTGTAAGGAGCAAACTGAATTGAAGGGATCCAGGCTGCTTCCAGGAGAGGGAAGCAGGCCAGGCTTTGTGAAGAGCAAAGAAACGGGAGGTATCACCCCGCTGTCTCCTGCAGGGATTTTGACAGCCTTATGTGACATCCCCAGAAACAACAGAAATTAAATCGAGGCGAAACGCCTGCCAAGAGATGAAAAACTGATCAGAAACCTAATTCATGACTAACTGTCAGCCCAAAAATGTCTGCCAAATGGATTTCACAGGCCCCTACCCCGGGTTCAGGATTCAATTTTGTCATTAACAGCCGGGATGATGGAGTGCAGAATATGCTTATTAAATTCCTCGACGAGCCCGAGCTGGGAGGTGATGCAAAGTCATTAAAGGATTAGAATTGAAAGGATCGTTGGAAACTCAAGAACAGGGCGGTGGGAAGGGATTTAATCAATAGAGACAAAGGTAATGACAGCTCGTGCCCAGGGACGGAGGGATACGGAGCCAAGGCTCTTCTCCGAGGGGTTGGGAGAACAAGGGCCAAAAGGCACGGGGTGTGAGGGGGGAAACTGTGTCTGGGCAAAATGGAAAGGTTTTCCATCAGGGGAGGGGATGAGGATGGGAATGAGGCCAAGGAGGGAGCGCTCCAGGCGTGGGGGCTTTCCAGACTCAGCTGGGAACAGCCCCGAGCAGCCTCTGCAGACACAGGGGTGGCCTTGGAGCAGGGCAGGGATGTCCCCGAGCATCCCAGTCTGGGTGGCTCCACAACTCCCACAGAAGGCTGGGAAGCAGCAGGAAGCCACAGAATCCCTGAGGTTGGAAAAGCCCTCCCAGCCCATGGATCCCCCCTGGGCCCCATCCCCACCTTGTCCCCCAGCCCAGAGCACTGAGTGCCACGGCCAGGCCTTCCTGGGACACCTCCAGGGCTGGGCACTCCAAACCTCCCTGGGCAGCCCCTGCCAAGGCCTCCCCACCCTTTCCAGCAACAAATTCCTCCTCATGGCCAACCTGACCCTCCCCTGGCCCAGCCTGAGGCCGTTTCCCCTTGGCCAGCCCCTTCCCAGCTCCCTTCCCTTCCCTGCACACGCTCCAGCCCCTCCAGGTCTCTCCTGGCTGAGGGCCCAGAACTGCCCCCGGAATTCCAGGGTCACTTTTACCAGCACAGGTGACCAAGGGCACCACAACCAGAGCAGCTCTACAGCAGCAAAGCCTGAACTAAGAAATCCTGTTTACTTATATCACCATTACCTACCCCAAAATATCCACAAAAAAAAACATCCACCACAAAAACCTGTCTGGATGGATTTAGCCTGGAGGGGGGAAGGCCCACAAAAATGCAGCAATTAAAAGTACACACAATTTTCTGACAGAAAAGGAGCAGCTCTGACTGTTAAATTTCAGTGAAACTAAAAGGAATTTGAAGGCACTATTTTTAAATCCTGCATCTGATAATCCTGCGTGTGTAGGAATGGAAAAGTTCACGCAGGAGTGTCACGAGGACAAAGGAACTTGTACAAAATTGACATTTACTGCTCATTAAGAGCCTTGTCTGCTCTCCTCAAAGCTCCCCCAGGCGTGTTTGGGATGAGCCAACAGCAGTGATCCCCCGGCTCCTCTGGCACACGGATCAGGCAGGGGAGAAATCACGACCTCAGGTCTCAGCTCAATACCTGAGTCACGTGCTCACATAAACAAACAAACCCTTAGATCAATAGCAGAAAGAATTATAAAGGTTTTGGGTTGTTTTTTTTTTAACAAATGTATCCCACTGAATTATCTGTTGGTATTTAAGGCTTCCAGCGCTGGGCTTACATTTTGATAGGTCCTCATAACCATCTCTGTTGGCTGGAAAATCAATAAACCCCCCCAAAAATAAGAAGCTCACATGTTCATATTTATATCTATATCTGTATTTATATTTATATGTCTGTATATATTTCTATATTTCTATATTTTAATATATTTTTATGTATTTCTATTTCCCTGTGCCCACCTTGGGTCAGTAAATGTCCCCTGAGGGACACGAGGCACCACAAACGCTGCTGAGGAGACACAGAAAAAGCCACCTTTGATTTTGGACAAGCGACAGGACTTGGGGAAACCCCCAGGGGAGAAAGTTCCATCCCATAACCGGATGGTCTTTAAGGTCCCTTCCCGACCCAAACCATTCTACGATTCTAAAATCTGCCCTATGGCCACTGTGGGTGACCCACAGACCCTCCAGGAACGCACAGAGGCAGTGGAAGGAACCTCCAAAAACTTTTCCAGACAAGCAAGATCCGCCTTCCCAGAGGAGTGGTGGAGTCCCCATCCCTGGGAGTGTCCCACAAACCTGTGGACGTGGCACTGGAGGACGTGGTTTAGTGCTGAGCTGATGGCTGGACTCGACTACATTAAAGGCCTTTTCCAACCTTAAGGGTTTTTATCTTGACAGTGAAAACACAAAGTTCAGGCTCCACGTCAGAAACGGGAGGTTTGGGAAAGAAAACTGGGAATTCAGCACTGTGACCAAGATAAAACCTGGATGGTGCTCAGCAGGAAACTGCTGGTACCTCAAACAGGCTGAAAAACACAGTGCAAGGCAGGTGGTGACCTGACCATGAGGAACTGGCCTTGTCCCACTTTTTACACGGAGCTAGAGACAACTTTTATTAAATAAAAGGGGGGAAAAAATGACCCAGAGGTTCCAAGTGTGGGGTTGCCAGCATGTGACCCCATCAGAGATGGGATTAACCCCATCCCACGTGTCCCTGAGGAAGAAAACACTTATTATGTCCTTAAGACAGGAGAAAACCAAGGAGGAAAAGGGAAGCAGGACTTGAGAGGAGCCAAGTGATGAGAAACCAAAGCTGAGGGAGGGTCTTACCCCCAGCTTGCACCAACCACCTGGAGCAGCTGGGATTGATGGGGAGAGAAAAGAGGACAGGGAGCAGGAATGAACAATTTGGAAGAGCCCCTGAACAGCAGCAGTTTGGGATCCTCCTGCTGTTTACAGGGAATTCCTGACGTGGGGAACAGAATTCCTGTGCTGGCAGCAGATCTCCAGCCCCTCACCACCACCAGGCAGGCCCTGCTGAGAGGCAGGAGTGGCACAGATGACCCAGGCTCTTTGATACAAGGCAGGAGAACCAGCAGCTCCCTCAGAGGGCATGGGGAGGGCAGACAGACTGCTCTGAGGTCCCTTCCAACCCAAAGAATTCCATGATAATGATCCAGCTACAATCCAGGCAGTTGGCAGAAGGGAAAAGAAACCCAAACCAACTTCTTTTGACCCACCTGGACGCAGCCCTGTGCAGGTGAACCTGCTTTAGGTTGGACTGGAAGATCTAGAAGATCTCCAGAGGTCCTTTCCAACCCCAACCAGTCTGTGATTCTTCCCATCCAGTGCATTTTGAGGATGGAATATCCCACCCGAAAAACGGTGTCTCCATCCTTCTGTGAGAAAGACGTATTTGGAAGGGGCTGGGGAGCTTTGGGAGTGGCTGCACCTGCACTGATGGATGAAAAACCAGCTCAGAGCAATGGAAGAGTGATGCAGGTACCAACCTGGCTCAGGAACAGAGAGGTGCAGACTGCCAGAAGCTGGGAAGATACTCTAGGAAAACTCTGGCCCTGCTCCTGCCTCCCCTGAAACCCAGAGCAGCCCAAAGGGGAGGCCACCAGCAGCAGGAGGTTCTCCAGACAGCAGGAGGTGACACAGGAGGTGGCACATCACCCCTGCAACGAGCTGGTTTGCCCTGGGGACACAACCCAGGAGATTACAGGCCCTAAACCCTCTAAATTACTCACTGCTAACTTAAGTCATCTCAGGCCACTGACACCAAGGTATCTCATTAACAACAACAATTAAATTAACAGAGGTGTGTGCAGGGCAGTGGCCAAGTGGCCGGGCAGCAGCAGAGGCATTTCCATGATTTCTGTGGGGAATTGGCTCCCTCTGCCCTGCCCCAACCCCAGCCCATTGCCACGGCCACGAGAAGACAGGACATGAGAAAACACCGGGCTTGGCACTGGACTTGATGTTTCCCTTTGCCACCTGTGTTACACAGCAGATTTCCTAGAAAGCCAGTCCAGGGTGTCACTAGAGCTCCTCTGCCCTCATGTTTGACTTCAGAAATTCAGGGATGTTCATTTCTGTGGCAACACCGTCCTTTATTTCTGAAGAATCTGCTCCTCCTCCAGGGACTCTGCTCCTGCTCTAAGGACTCTACTTCTGCTTCAAGGATTCTGCTCCTCCTCCAAGGATTCTGCTCCTGCTCCAAGGATTCTGCTCCTCCTCCAGGGATTCTGCTCCTCCTCCAGGGACTCTGCTCCTGCTCCAAGGATTCTTCTCCTGCTCCAAGGATTCTTCTCCTGCTCCAAGGATTCTTCTCCTGCTCTAAGGATTCTGCTCCTGCTCCAAGGATTCTGCTCCTCCTCCAGGGATTCTGCTCCTCCTCCAGGGACTCTGCTCCTGCTCCAAGGATTCTTCTCCTGCTCCAAGGATTCTTCTCCTGCTCCAAGGATTCTTCTCCTGCTCTAAGGATTCTGCTCCTGCTCGAAGGACTCTGCTCCTGCTCCAAGGATTCTTCTCCTGCTCCAAGGATTCTTCTCCTGCTCTAAGGATTCTGCTCCTGCTCTAAGGACTCTGCTCCTGCTCCAAGGACTCTGCTCCTGCTCTAAGGACTCTGCTCCTGCTCCAAGGATTCTCCTCCTTCTCTAACATTTACATTCCTACAGCCAGCAACAACTTCTCTTTTCCACCTCCACGACACACGGCCAGAGGATCCGAGCTCAGTGTCCCACCATCCCACACGGCACCACCTTCCCAGCCCTTCCCGCAGGGACCACGTGCTCTCCTCCTCCCTCCTGCTCCAGCCATTCAGCCGGGGCCAGGACAGACATCCCGAGCCAGAGGGTTTGTCCCAGAAGGCAAAGCCCCAGCGAGGTTTGAGAGCTGCCCTGGTTGGGGCAGGTCCACGGGAGGCCGTGGCCCAGCACCCCCCGCTCACCTGGAACGCCGTCTGGCTGTTGTAGTTCCGAATCTCCTTGCTGGCACCACGGAAGAGGAGCACCCGGGCACAGCTCTCCTGGCAAGGGGAAAGGGAAGAGACCATTAGCACTTGAGAGTGGTGGCAACACCCCAGCCAACCCCGGGGGTCACTGAGCTCGGGAAGCTCCCCTGGCAAGAGCGAGGAGGGACGATCACCCCCCGTGAACTGGGGATCCCCAGCCCCCAGTCATGGAATCATGGAGTTACAGGATGGTTTGGGTTGGAAGGGACCTTAAAGATCATCCAGTTCCAACCTCCTGCCATGGGCAGGGACACCTTCCACTAGACAAGTCCATCCTCGGGGGCACTGGCACTGAGACCAACACATGTTCCCAGGTACTGCTGTTGCCTAAAGCTTTTTGTTGGTCTAGAATGCTCTGTGCTTCTCCATGGTGTTAATTCAATGTGTTTATGAGCCCCTGAACCCTTCAATGCCCCTCTCCCACCCACCTCCATGGGCAGGGATGTGGGTCCAAGAGCCCATGACGTGCAGAGTGAATCCACCACACCACAAATTGTCCCCCACCTCCCACTGGCAAACCATGACAGGCCTCAGTTTTTAAAGCGTGGACACCTCAGAAACTGGAAATTCCCTTTATGATAAAAGCTCACATAACACAATGGCTAAAACTGTCTAGGAAGGAGCAAACCCTCCCAGGAGAAATGCTCAGATCCTGCCCTGCCCCGCTCCGAGAGCAGCGGGGGCGTGAGATCAGAGGGGGCTCTTCACCAACCTCAGCTTCCCTGAGCTGAGTGAGTGACCACACAGAAAATGAGACAGAAATGGAGCCCTGTGCTGCCTGCACGGTCTTCTCCAGAATTCTGAGATTAGCAGGAAGAATTGAGGGCTATTTGTGAGCAGGACAGGACCCCAGGCCATGTGCCTGCCCTGGAGAGGGCTGGAAGCCACAGGATGTGCCCACCTCAAATTGAATGTGAGCTCCATAGCCAAATTAGAAGCCCCCACCCAGCAAACTTCTCCCTCCCAGCCAGTTCCAGGGACCTGCTGCGAAGCAGGAAAAAGAACTGGAGGAAAAATTACAGAGCAGGTTTGGAAGCAAAGCAGCAAAACATCTTGGGAACGGAACAGATTAAACCACGGCCACTTGACTCTTGAGAAATCCCAAAGCAGGCTGGTGCTACAAACAGAAACAGCCTCTTGGACTGCACTCAGAGGAGCCCTGTGGATCTGGGAGCAGCAGGAGCGCCGAGAGGGGCCCCAGCTGTGGTGGTGGTGTCGCTGCCTCGGCCAGGATGGTGCCCCCGTGCCCTCCCTGGTGCCCCCGTACCTGGTTGTAGAGGGCACAGATGTGCAGGGCGGTGTTTCCTGAGGCGTTCTGGGCAGTCATGTCGGCCCCGTAGAACAGGAGGTGCTCCAGGTGCTGGACGTGGCCGTAGCGACAGGCCTGCCCCACAGCCAGGGGGGGAAAAAGGGAACAGAGGAGGATCAGGGAGCGGCAGGAAGGGGATAAATAAACCCCAGAACATCCTCTGCTGGATCCAGCCACGCTCCAGAAGTGCAGCCAGGCTGGAGCTGTAACCCAGACTGCAAACATGGACACACTGCTGCTCCTCACAGCCCCACACACCTGGGCACACCTGGGATAAATCACCTCTGGATCAACAGGAAAACCTGGATCAGCATCGTGCTGGTCCCAGAGCCTCCTCCAGACTGGTGGCTGTCTCAGTGTGACTGCAGGTGAGAGGAAGCCCCGAGCACACCCAGGCCAAGCAGAGGACAAGGCCCCACATCTCTGGTTAACTGGTGCATTTTCCTCTCCCTCTGGTCCATCCCAGGCCCAGCAGCTCCCAAAGATCAGCCAAGGAGGACGGAGGCAGCAGGGACATCACAAACACTTCCTGTTTTTCATTCTCACCTGTAGCTGTGCCAGGACTCATCCCTCTTGGAGGGGGGGTTTTGGGAGGCCACAGGCCCAAAGACAACCTGCCCTCCAACATGGGCTCATCCCCCTCCACCCAAAGGGAGAAGCACAAAGCTGGCTCAGGTCTCCTAACCCCCAATCCGTGCCTTCCCTCTGCCAAAGCCACTTGTTGATGTGCAGAACAGGGACAGGCAGAGCTGGGTTTGGAACCAGGATGCCTCAGGTGCTGGACCAGGATCTGAAAACGTTATCCTTTGAGCCAGGCATCATCTGGGGAGGATCCCAGACACTACTGGGGAGGATCCCAGACGCTCCTGACCAATGCCAGAAGAAAACAGCCAGAACACCAACCTGGGATGGAGCCAGAGCTGGCACAGCACGTCCAGCCCCCAATGCCCCCACCAAGCAGTGCCTCCCCAGCCCGTGGCACCCCAGGGGACGGGAGGACCCCGTCCATCAGCCCCAGGACAGCGGTGCCCCGGGCGGATCCCCCCCCATCTCCCACTGGATCCCAGCCCACCTGGTGGATCTCCTGCCAGCCGTTCTCGTCCACGCAGCCGAGCCGGGCGTAGTCGTGCAGCAGGAGCTCGCAGCAGTACGGGTCCCCCCCCACCATGGCACTGTGGTACAGGGGCGTCAGCCCCCGGCTGTCCTTGTAGTCCGGGGACGCTCCCAGGTCCAGCAGTGTCTGGAAGAGAAGAGCCCACCTCGCCCTGCAGCTCCAGGAGGAAAACCCACCCGCCGGGGAGGGAAGACCAGCCGGGGATGCTCCGGCCACCCCCCTGTGCCCATGAGGCACCCCATGGGCAGCACCAGAGATGCTGTGCCAGGAGGGGCAGCGGGGGTGGCTCTGGAGGGTGCAGGGAGGGGAGGGTGTGGCACTAGATCTGCAGTATATGAGAAACTGTGGTTTAAACATGTTTCAAAATGGCTTTTTGTATTTCTGCGAAGTCACTGCTCCTTCTTCCCGACACCCTCTGTGAAGGACTCTTATCTCCCATGCAGGAGTGTCCTGGGAAGATGTCCTGAGGTCTTCTCATTGGACCTTTTTAACCCCTTCCTACTGGTTGTTAACCCCTTCCTGCAATTGGTAATTGGTTACTCTGTGAATCCTCCTAACCCTATAAACGTAACCCCCCCAACAATAAACCCTCTCTTGCCTCCTCTCCACGTCCTGTGTGCTGTCTCTGTGGCTGCCATGGGACCACGTGGGTGGAGAGAGGGGAGAGCACCTCTCCCCTCCAGGCTGGGGACCTGAAGAAACCCCCGGTGCTGGAGTTCCCCCTCCCTATCCACCCTCAGCCGTCGGTTCCTCAGGTGGAAACGGAACTAGAACCGGTGCGCCCCACACCATGTGGGGAAAGAGATCCCGAGGAGGGCAGAGCCCGGGCAGAGCCCCCCCGTCCCACTCACCAGCAGCGCGGCGTGGTTGCGGCAGCGCACGGCCTTGTGCAGGGCCGTCATCCCCTCCCGCGTCCGGAAATCCAGGTGGGCTCCCCCGTTCCGCAGGGCCTTGATCATCTCGGAGCTGAGCTCCAGCTGCGCCGCCGCCGTCAGGGGACACTCTGCGGGCACGGAGAGGCACAGGGGTGAGGACCACGGGGAGCCCACCCCTCGTGGGCACCGGTGGGGTCCGGCGGGACGTGCCCGCCGAGCCCTGTCTGAGCGAGTGTGACCTCAAACCGAACGGGAGCCAGATCAGCAGCTCCCACCCAACCAGGTGCTCCTGCCCACCCAGTCACGGGGAGCTGCTCTGTGTGGGGAACGGGGAGGAAAATTATCACAGAATCCCACAATATGCTGAGGCGGAAGGGAACCACAAGGATAATGAGGTCCAACTCCTGGCCCTGCACAGGGCACCCCAAGAGTCACACTCTGTGCCCCAGAGGATCATCCAAAAGCTCCTGGAGCTCTGGCAGCCTTGGGGCTGTGCCCACTGCCCTGGGGAGCCTGGTCAGTGCCCAACCAGCCTCTGGGGGAAGAACCTTTCCCTGAGATCCAACCTGACCCTGCCCTGACACAGCTCCAGCCCTTCCCTGGGTGCTGTCCCTGGTCCCCCCAGAGCAGAGCTCAGTCCCTGCCCCTCCTCTGCCCCTGCCCAGGCAGTTGGAACTGCAGTGAGGTCTCCCCTCAGTCCCCTCTGCTCCAGCTGAACACCCCAAGTGCCCTCAGTGCCCTCACACAGCTTCCAGTCAAAGCCCTTCCCCATCTTTGTTACGGAACAGGTTTGGAAGTAAAGCAGCAAAAATTTCTTGAGAAGGGAACAGATGAACCCAAGGACCCTTCTGTGGCCACCTGCCCCTCGAGATACCCAAAATCAGGCTGGTGCTACCAACAGAAAGAGCCTCGTCCCACATGGGATTCCCACAGAGGAGAGGGGCAGGAAAGCACTGAAAATTTAAGGAATGGCAGAAATGCCACTGCTGGCCATGGGAACACACATGTCTGGATACACCGTTGATACAACGGGGAGAAGAAAGGGGTGGGAGTGTCCCCGACCAGCTCCCTCCTGAACAAAGCATGGATAAAGGGTTGCTGTCCTGCTGCACATCCAGGACCATCCCAGCGTTCCCAGGACTGCCCTGAGCCCCTTCACGTGTCCTGCATGGTCCTCATGTCACCAGGAGCAACCTCCAAGCACCCAACCCTCACCCCAGAGAGGGAGAACACCTCCACATACAGCAAAAATAACTATTCAAATTACAAAAATGGCTTGAGATAGAAATTTAAAAAAAAAAAACCATACAAATATTCATTTTAGAGCATTGCTGTTAACTAAATTTTGAAATGAGATGAGAAGGTTGGACAAGATTCTGTGGCTTTGCTAAAACTCTCTGGGCTTTGTCTATAAGACACCAATATAAAAAAAGAGGATTAGTGAAGATCGTGGTCAAGAGGGTTTGCCAGTGAGAGGAATGACCAATAGATGTGAACGTTATAGCTGGGTCTTCTACTTTATTTATTATAAATTATATTTATTTACTACAAAATAATAAATATTTCTTATAAAATATTGTTATATTATAAAATAATACTTATTTTAAAATAACACCTATTTTATCTTTATGGAAAGATAAAAGTGACAGAAAAGGCTTCAAACCATCCTGCAGTCTCTGTTATTAACACACCAAACTCAACTGACAAATCTGTCCCGTTGTCTTGGGCCACAAAAGACTGAGAAAGGTCCAAACTGGGTGTTTCTGAGGAACTGCAGCCAGGAACTTGTTCCCTAAATCTACTGTAACCACTAATCCAGGACTTCAGTGATTCCAGCCTGCTAATTCTTGGAGAAGTGAGAAGCCAAACAAATGCTTAAAGTAATTAAGGAGTGAGAGCAGGGGATCCCCAGCAGAAAACAGGGACCAGCCAGGGAAGACACTGCTCAGGGGAAGGGACCCATTCATGGGTGTGGGAGGGAGATGTGGGCTGAGATATCCCGGGAATATCGTGGGCACAGGCCCAGTGCTGGGACCTGGGGAGGCCCCCCTGGAATCCCGGGGGCAGTTCTGGGCCCTCAGGCAGGAGAGACCTGGAGGGGCTGGAGCGTGTGCAGGGAAGGGAAGGGAGCTGGGAAGGGGCTGGAGCAGCAGGAGGGGCTGAGGGAGCTGGGGGGGCTCATCCTGGAGCAAAGGAGGCTCAGGGGGGACCTTCTGGCTCTGCAAGTCCCTGCCAGGAGGGGGGAGCCGGGGGGGGTCGGGCTCTGCTGCCAGGGACACTGTCCCAGGTTGCTCCAACCTGCCCTTGGACACTTCCAGGGATCCAGGGGCAGCCACAGATGCTCTGGGAAATCCATTCCAGGGCCTTCCAACTCTCCCAGCCAGCAATTCCTTCCCAATATCCCATCTCTCCCAGCCCTGTGGCACTGGGAAGCCATTCCCTGTGTGCTGTCCCTCCATCCCTTGTCCCCAGTCCCTCTCCAGCTCTCCTGGAGCCCCTTTAGGCCCTGCCAGGGGCTCTCAGCTCTCCCTGGAGCCTTCTCTTCTCCAGGGGAACCCCCCCAGCTCTCCCAGCCTGGCTCCAGAGCAGAGGGGCTCCAGCCCTGGCAGCAGCTCCACAGCCCTTTCCCTCCCCAGTTACTCATTCCTGCTGTTATTTGTCCTCACATCATTTTGGGGCCACGGTTCCTATTGCTGCTCCCAGTCCACTCTCTGTAATCCAATGTTCTCCTGGTCTCCTCTCCCTCTCCTGCTGTTCCCCAGGTGCCACCCTTGTCCAAAATCCCTTGTTAAATATCCAGGGTTGCTTTTCTCTCTCCACAGCCTAAACCATCCCCCAGGTTTGGGTCTAATTTCAGACCAACAGTAAGTTCTCGTGTATAATTTTTTTTTACCCCCTTTAAATGTACCTACAGGAAGCAACTGTGAATTTTTTCCTTTTAATGTCTTTCAAAGGCAGTGAATCTTTCCTGGAATATCTGCCCAGCAACCCTGAGAGGTGAATGATGGCAAATGGGGCTGCAGCAGTTTCCAACGTGGCTCTTCCCTGCCTTCCCACTCCAGCAGAAAAATGGGAAGGAGAATATATCCTTCTGCCTCAGCACAGCTTAAAACCACTCCCAAAAGCAGCTTAAATGAAGATACCCAGAGGCTGGAGAGGCTGGAATGCCACATCATCCCGTGGGCTCTGCTGTCACGGTGCCACCACAAAGCACAGGGCATTTTATGGTGCATCCAGGTCATTAACTGGATTAAACTCTGCAGAAGAACATTTCTCCAAGCAGGGGAGCCCAGTTTGCCTTGAGGAGCTCCCAGTTCAGCCCAGGACAAGTGCTGAATTCAGTGGGAAGAAGGTGGTTTCCAGGCTCCTGTCCCTGCTCCATGTGCCTGTCCAGGCGCTGGGGCTGCCCCTGGCACACAGGGCGTGCTCAGCTGCCACTCTGCCACAGCTCCCCACCTTCCCATGTGGAAAAAAACACATTCCTGGCATTATTCCTCCTCTCCAAGAGCAGCTCACACCACCAGTGGCCACCACACCATGGGGGGGTTTTGCCAAGGGAAGCTTGGCCACAACTGTGGCAGCTGAAGGGGGACAAGGGATCCCTGGGGGGTAAATCCCAGGCACCCACAGATGGGTTTGGATGGAACAACCACAACAAAGGGTTCTGTGCTCCAACAGGGAGGTCTCCCTGCAGCCCTGCAAGCCAGGTTTAAGAGCAAACCCCATGGAAAGGCAGTTCCTACAGACCCACTCCCAGTCAGGTTCTGTCCAGAACTGGAGGCACAGAAGGCAGCTCCTGAACTGCCTCAGCCCTGACACAATCAAAGTCCAAGTCATAAATCACCCCAAATCCCCAGACAAAATCCTTCCCACTCTGGAAGAGGAAATTAAGTATTAAATTAAAGCTGTTCTTTCTCTCTGTGTCCATTCTCTGCTTCCACCAGGACTGGCAAGGAGATAGTGCCCTCCAATGTGCCCTCCCTGGCTTCATCCTCAGCAAATCTCTCCATTCCCAGGTTTCCTGTGTCTGGGAAGTCCTGGTGTCCTTCCCAGTTTGGGCAAACCAACAGCTTCTTCCTTTCATTAACCTTGGGGATGGCACAAGCTCTATTTGGAGTTGCAGAGTGAGACTTGGTTTAAGCCCCTTGAATATAAAACGAGACAAAATATTCCTCCATCCCTCCCCCTTGGCTTGGGGAACGTAAAGACAGAGCAGGAAGGACACAGAAAATTACATTTTCACTTCACCATTCACTAAAATCAAACTCTCCTCCACATATGTTCATTTATTTTCTCCCAGAGAGAGATGGCACAGAAAAGGATCACGACTGACAGGCATCAATCAAAGTGTTTCATGGAAACCTGCAGTGGGAAACAAATCAACTGAGAAAATCGTGGAATTACAGAACAACCTCAGCTGGAAGGGACCCACAAGGATCATCAAAGTCCAGCTCCTGGCCCTGCACAGGACCAAGAATTCAACCATGTGCCTCAAATCATTCACTCGGTGACAACACTGAGACCTTTTTCAGAAGGTAGAGATCCAAGTGTCCTTCCTAATCTTCCTTTTCCTCATGGGTTTGCACATAAAAATCCAACCTCAGGCTCCATCCAACCTGGCCTTGGACACTTCCAGGGATCCAGGGGCAGCCACAGCTTCTCTGGGCAACCTGGGCCAGGGCCTCCCCACCCTCCCAGCCAGCAATTCCTTCACAATATCTCATCTAACCCTAATCTCTGTCACTTTAAAGCCATTCCCTGTGTCCTGTCCCTCCATCCCTTGTCCCAAGCCCCTCTGCAGCTCTCCTGGAGCCCCTTTAGGCCCTGGAAGGGGCTCCATGGCTGCTGCCATTGTCCTGAAGTAAATGCAAATCTCTGATCAGACCTGCAGGTTCCACAAGGCCCTGGATGGAGGAGCTCTTGGAGCAACCAGGGCCGGGCAATCCCAGAACCAGGAAGGGCAGAGATGGATCCTGGAGGATGCACCTGAGAGGCTGCACAATGAGGAGGGGGCAGGCTGCCCGAGAAAACCTCCTCAAAACAAACAAAGCTCTCGAGCAAGGAACTGCTTAGAGGCTCCACTTCATCCGTCATGGGATGGGTTAAGGCGGGAGCAGGACACAACCCAGGAGGAGGAACAGGAAGGGAAACCCCTCCAGCCCCTCCACCCAGCAGGAGCAACACGGGGGTGCCATCCCAGTGACACAGAGTCACCCCTGTCCTCCCCAGAGCAGGGCCCAGCAGGAAGAGCTGTCCCTGAGGAACGACGGGGGAAGGCAGCGGCCCGTCTGCTCCCCACGCTCCCAAAGTCCTCCTCAAAATGGAATAGCGACATGTAAGTCACAAAAAATGACAGGGAGAGTGGAGAAAACACCTCCAAAGGAAAGGCTGGAGGAGTTGGGCCTCTCTTCAATGAAGGAAAGGCACATTGAACGTTGCCTTGATTACCTTCACCCCGATACTAACGGTGCTCTTCAATTGGGAAGATCAAGTGTAACGACACCTGGAAGCACCAATTTGAATGGGAGAGGAGTTTTAAACAGCCAGGGTGATTCACCAAATAACCAAGGAAAGGCAGGGATCTTCTGTTCCCCGAATCAGGAGGGATGACTTGGTGGAAAACACGTGGAAGCTTTGCTGAGGGAACACAGAGCGACACGCGGAGGGAGAGGAGCTCCCTGAGAGATGCATGAGGGCAGGGCAGGGGGACAGCAGCTCCATCTGCTCTTGTGTTCCAGGAAGCCAGGAATAGTGATCAGCAGCTTTGTGTCATCCTTGCACGTTCACGGAACAGCTTGTAAAGCAAACAGGGATGAAGGGTTTCTCCACAAGGCTCGGCACTCCAGGAGTGTCCAAGACTCCTCCTGCTCCAAGGGTCTGTTTTCATAGAATCATGGAAAGGTTTGGGTTGGAAGGGACCTGAAAGATCACTCAGTTCCATCCCCTGTCATGGGCAGGGACATTTTTCACTAGCCCAGGTTGCTCCAAACCCTGTCCAACCTGGTCTTGGACACTTCCAAGGATCCAGGAGTAGCCACAGCTTCTCTGGGCAACCTGGGCCAGGGCCTGCCCACCCTCCCAGGGAAGAATTTCTTCTGTATATCTAAGCCAATTTTTCCCTCTTTCAGTTTGAAGCCATTTCCCCTTGTCCTGTCCCTGCAGTTCCAGCTGAACAGTCCCTCTCTCACTTCCTTGGAGCCCCTTCAGGCACTGGAAGGGGCTGTGAGGCCCCCACACAACCTTCTCCTCTCGCAGCTTCCACTCTGGTTTTGCCCTCAGTTCTGAACCAGATCCAAACTCCTCTTTGGGTCAAGGTGTCTCTCCTTCTCCCCCCTCTACATTTAACAGTTCTCAAGAGCCTGTCCCTTCCTCCTGTGACAGAACACCCGGGTTCAAACCTCACCAGACCCAAACCTCTCACGGCACCTTTGCACGCAGGACTCGGCGCCTCCAACGTGATTCCCCCTGGAAAGCTGCGTCAGCTTCAGAAGGGTGAGGAGCTTTCTTTACAAAAAAAAGATCCCTCAAAGTGCTTCCAAGGTCTGGGACAAAAAGGAAATCCCCCTGGAGCTGGGCTGTTTGGACACTGGCTGAGTTTCACCCGAGCAGTTGTTCATGACAACACTCTGGCAGGTTCAGGAGAGGCTTCACCAGCAAAGAAACAGCACAAACACTGGTTCTTGCCAGAGTTTGGCTGCATCTTTCACCTTCCCAGCTCAGGAAGACCCTTCCCAGCTCAGGGAAGACCATTCCCAACAGGAATGGAGGCAGTCATGGATAAGAGAGATTAATGGTGCGAGTGACACCACACAGCACCTGATCTCCGGGCTGGAAAATGCTCTGGATCCCCTAAATTTCCCAGCACAGAGACAAAGTGTTTCAGCAACAACCTGACAAACCATCCAAGTGAACCAGAAACACAGAAAATTAATCATCTGACTGGAGGAGGGGTTGGAGACGTGCCTGTGATCCTCACCCAAAACTCCACAATAAATACTAATAAGCTGCACTTCTGTAAAACAGCAACAGCAAAAGCAGTAACTTCTCTCTCAGAACAAGACTAAGAGATGGGGGGAAGTCCTCCCTGGCTGCCCCTTGGTTCCCAAAACATCTGGAGTCTGAGTCTTGCTTCTCACAGCCTGGAACCTGCAGAGAACCCGACCAGACCTTGCTGGGTGAGCTTTGCTCAGAGACAGGAAAAATAAAGAAATAAAGGGAAAAAAAAAAAATTGAGGAAATCAGAGGCCAAGATTCTGTTTTCTTGATGCCCAAAATACTTCTTGAACATTCTGACTGTTTAATGGACAGATCCATGACTTGCCCAACTTTTCAGTCCAGAGGGAGCCTCACCCTCCCCAGAGTCCCACTGAGGGATGTGTGGACACACAGCTCGTCCATGTCACGCTGCATTCCCAGACTCTGGACCTCTGACACACCAGCCATCTTCTCCCAAGAGTCTTCTGCACCCTCAAGCTCCCAAATCCCAGCAGAGGACACACTGCTGAGAGATGCACCTCACACCTCCCTGTTCCAAACTCACCGATCATGAAACCTCCTCAAAACCAACCCCTGTCCAAAATTCCCACCGTGTCCCCCGGGCACCTTCTCCCCCGGCCCCTGCTCTGCCATCCTGCCCTCCCTGGAGCAGCCAGGCTCACCTCCAGTATCCGGATCATGGAAGTTGGGGTCCAGTCCCTTCTCCAGGAGCCTGCAGACCTTCTCCGCGTTCAACATCTGCACGTACTCCATGAACTTCTTCAGGTTCGCCTGGGGGACACGCAGCACAGTGTTAACGTCCCAAAAGGAGCCAAGAGGCCACCAGAGGAACACCTCCAACCAGGAGACCCAAGGAAACCACCAGGATAACGGGGCAGCGCCCACCAGGAGCCACGGTCCATGAGGATGTGCCACAAATCCACAGGGAAAACTGTCCTTCCATCCCTCTCAAGACTGGAATTACCGGATCAACCCATGGAAACGGTCAAGGGCTGCCAGTTCCCACCCCTGTCTCAAAGAATCTTGTTCTCCCGAGGGCTCTGAGTGCCCAGATTTGCCTTTAATTCCGCCTGGTTGTGGGTTGTTGTTCCCTTTTTTTTTTTCCAGTTTTGGAAAGCTCTGCTTGATGAAAACATTACTTTATTAAATTTCTAGACTCCAGAAATTGTGGCTCTGCCAGGCAGGAGGCAACACTTGGACAGGCTACAGTGTGAAAACACCCATCTCACACACATTCCAGATTTCCAGACCTTTGATTGCAGCTTGGCTGGGTTTGGTTGGTTTTTTTTTTTTTGAGCTTATTCTAATTCAGCCCCGCAGCAACTGACTTTAGGAAAGGCCTCTGGAAAGTGTCTGACACAGCAGAAATGCTGAGGGAAGGCTTTGGGAAAAGGTCCAACCGACTGGTCAGGCTGCAGCCAACAGGTCCCAGCAACACGGATTTCACACCCGGCGGAAAAAAAAAATCAAATTCCAGCATTTTCTCCCTAATTTGATATGGAAAAATGATCTCTTTCATGAAGCAAAATGAATTCCAAAACGCTTCACTTCAATTTCCACTTTTAAGATTTCCAGCTGGAAAACAGAAAAAAAAAAAAACAACCAAAACCATCCTGAAAATATCAAATGGGATGAGAAACGTGTTTAGTTCTTAGAACAGAACTGGGACCAATGGATGGTTTTGGTGGAAAGGGACCCTAAAGATCATCTGTTTCCATCCCCTGCCATGAGCAGGGACACCTCCCATGAGCCCAGGTTGCTCCCAAGCCCTGTCCAACCTGCCCTTGGACACTTCCAGGGATCCAGGGGCAGCCACAGCTGCTCTGAGCAACAAAGTCTGTTCCCCAAGGCTTCCAAACCAAAGCCTCATCACGTATTATTTTGCAGAATATTTTGATTTTGTCAAAAGTTAATTTTTTGGGGAGAGGGGGAACTTATTACTTTTAGAACAAATCCCGTAGATGAGCCTGCAGATCCCAAAACTTGGGAGCCACAAGTTCATGGGGTGCTACTCCTCTGACCCACCGAGGGGCCCACGGTGAGAACTCAGGTTTCCACATCCCCCAGGTGAAACTTTCCATGGATGAGACAAATTAATGCTGGGCTGGGAACCTGCTTTAGCCCAAACCTGTGTGTGGTTAACCTGCAGAACCAAACCTAAACCATTTAGCCCCTTTTCTCAGCAATCAGCCCCCCGGAGCCAGGCCACGGACCAGATTTAAAAGGGTATCAACGTTTTAGAGCAACTCTGCTCCTCACAGCCCTCGGGGTGGGATGGAACCCACACAGGCACGGCACACAGACCGCTCCAGGGGCACAAAAGGGTTGGGACATCTTCTCCAGGAGGTGCTCCAGGCAGAACAAGCAGTTCCCACAGCACCAACACTGATCACAAGCTCGGTGGGAGGACAACTGGAGTCAGAGGTAACAAGGCACAAGCCCTGATTTTTTGGGGGACAAGACACCCCCCCCTCCCAACCCTTCCTTCTCCCTCAGGTTCCCTCCTGTCTCACAAGCAACTGAAAGCAAAACCCCCCTCCTGCTGCCTGCAGAAGGCTCACAGCTGTGCCAGCAATAGCACAGACACCGCCTCCGGGATGTGCCATCCCAAAATGCCTCTTCCCAAACTGCGCAGATTTAACCCCATTCCTTCCACTCCCCCCTGCCCAGGAGCCTGTTCCCGTCCCGGGAGCCGGTGAACCAGCAGTGGAGACCCAGCCCCAGGGATGATGCTCCTCACGTGGCTCCACTGAACCCCCACGGCCAAGAACGGCTCTGCCCGTCCCAGTGGGATCCCTGGAAGTGGCTGTGGGACACGTGGAGGTGGGAGCCGAGGAGGGGACACCCCACCACGTGTCCCACCAGCCCCACACAGGCGGGCACTGCACCTCGTGTGCTGCTACCAGACACAGCCCAGGCATCAGTCCGAAGTTCTCCTCCCGGGATTCTTCCAGCAGCTTCCCTGCACGACCCCGGGGATGTGCCCACCCTTCCCAACACCATGCCCATCAGGATTTCCAACTTTCCAGGTGCTCAGGAATTCAAACCACAGTTTGTTTGGACCACAGGATGCACCGAGTCAGCTTTTAACAGCACGGTCAGAAAGGAAGGCGAGGAGAAGTTGCGTGAGAAAAAAAGAAGGATATGGAGGGAGACACCCTCAGCCCTGGGGTCTGCATGGAATCCCAGGATCATTCCGGTTGGAAAAGACCCCTGGGATCAAAGGCGCTGTCCCACTGCTGGTCCCCACAGCCCCTGGTCCCCACAGCCCCCGTGCTCCACGCGGGCATCGACGGGGCTGCCATGGAAACTCCCTCGGGGGGGGGGGGAAATCAATGCCCACCCTGCCCTTCCAGAGGCAGAACAAAGAAGGTTCATCCACCCAAGGTCTCGTTCCAAATCCACAGCCACGCCTCCAAAATCGTTTTTAAAGTCCAGAGACTCAACCAGTTTGTTTTTCCATAGAAAAATATTCCCTTTCTGTCCCTCTGCTGCTGTTGCCCATCTGCCCTCCAGCACGATCCAGATGTGCAGCTCGTGCTCCAGATGTGCAGCTCTGTGCCCAGGTTGCTGCAATTCTCAAACTTAAAACACTCCTGGGAGAGGGTTGGACACAGCACAGCAATTCCTGATTTCTGGAACCAGGTGAAGGTGTTTAGAGGGCACCTTCCACTAGCCCAGGTTGCTCCAAGCCCTGTCCAACCTGCCCTTGGACACTTCCAGGGATCCAGGGGCAGCCACAGATGCTCTGGGCAACCTGGGCCAGGGCCTCCCCACCCTCCCAGCCAGCAATTCCTTCCCAATATCCCACCCAACCCTGCCCTCTGGCACTGGGAAGCCATTCCCTGTGTCCTGTCCCTCCAGGCCTTGTCCCCAGTCCCTCTCCAGCTCTCCTGAATCATCTTTAGGCCCTGCAAGGGGCTCTCAGCTCTCCCTGGAGCCTTCTCTTCTCCAGGGAAAACCCCCCCAGCTCTCTTAACTTACTGGTTTCACTGAAGTGAGATTTCAGCTGCACTGAGGGTTTCTCCCTTCTTAAAAACCACACCTGCAACCAGCACTGGCAACAGGACAGTTGATGCAACATTTGCATTTCCAAGCACTCCTGAAACTGCCTCCTAAACCAACCCAAGCCCTGCCAAGACATCCCAGCCCTGTCCTTTCCCAGGGACTTTACAGCCACTTTTCACCAGGAACCAAATTGCTGGTTATTTACATTTTTCCACGTAATTTTTTCACAGAATTGAAGAATCATGGAGGTTGGAAAAGCCCTCCCAGCCCATGGATCCCCCCTGGGCCCCATCCCCACCTTGTCCCCCAGCCCAGAGCACTGAGTGCCACGGCCAGGCCTTCCTGGGACACCTCCAGGGCTGGGCACTCCAAACCTCCCTGGGCAGCCCCTGCCAAGGCCTCCCCACCCTTTCCAGCAACAAATTCCTCCTCAGCCCCAACCTGACCCTCCCCTGGTCCAGCCTGAGGCCGTTTCCCCTTGGCCTGGCCCTTGTTCCCTGGGAGCAGAGTGTTGACACTGCATGGAAAAGCTCCTCCATCCAACTGCTTTCTATTCCAATTTAGCTCCAAACTCAGAATATCGCCCTTATTTTTTGGACTGTTTCACCCAAAGCTGAAAGGAGATCTGAGACAGTGAGGACGCTTGTTTTCCTTCCCCAGTTTCTGAATAAAACCCTGGTGGGAAAGGAATGAGATCTCATTATTCTAAGAACTTGAGGGATTTGGGGCCAGGTTTTCAAATGAATTAAGGTGACCAGCCATGAAGAGAGAGAGCAAATGTCAGCCTCCCACCAAAGCAGGAGGAGCTGAGCAGATGCCTAAACCTCTTAAGCAATTTTGAAGTCTCACTAGATCCTTGCTGATTTCCTGGCACTTAAATACCTTTGAGAATTTGGGATGAGAACCACTCGCACAACCCAAATCTCCCTTTGTTTAAAAGATCAGGCAGCTTCAAACACGAAAGATACGTAGTGATAAATTTACTTTTCGCCCTCTGTGCCCAGCACATTCCAGCAACATTTATTTAAGCGATAAAGACACAATTGAAAACGTTACTTTGTTTTCGGGTTAATTGAATTTTGGAATTATCCAAATGCACTTTGATACCAATCGAAATAAGGGGGGAAAAAAATAATCAGAAGCTGGTAAAGGCACAGCATCCCAATTCCTCTGTGCGAAAATTAAACCCTAAATATATTTATATGAAGCCACGAAAATATTTATATATATTTAAAGTTTCCATAAACACTCACCGGGTCTCCCTGTGAGTAAAACCCCTTATTTAGTGATTTACAAATCGATGTCTGAACGCTGCAGCGACCAGAACCAAGTGAGCTTTTTCTGGGGAGCAAAAACCAAAAAAAAAACCCACCAAAACCTCCTGTAAGTAAGATTAAAGCTCAGAGTTAGGCCTCACTCTGCCTTTTTAAGGGGTGTTTTAAGTCTTTTCACAGGGGGCAGGGCTTGGGGGTTGCAGGAGGTGGGATCTGTCTCACCCCATGCCAGGATAAAGGAGGGCTGTGAGGAAGCAGGGACAGAGCTGAGCTCACACCACCTGGAAACCCTCTGGGGAGCAGCCCCTGTCTTTGGGATCTTCTTCCCTGGGGGCAAAGCTCCCTGAGGAGGAGGAGGAGAAGGAAGAGGAGCCTCCTCAGGAGAGGCAGGACCCAGCGCCTCGAAGGGTCTCTGCCCTCACCCTCCGCGCCCGAACCGCGGCTGTGGCGCTTCAGCTCGGATCTCACCCACCCTCACCCAAAATGCCACCTCACAGTGACTCCTGAGCGAGTTTGAGGCGCTTTGCCTTGTTTTTGCAGGCATGTGGAGGAGGGTGAGGCCGGGAGAGCGCGGGGGCGCAGCTCCAGCCCCCCAGCTGGCGGCCGCCCGCCGCTCTCCATCATCCACCACCGGCACCGAACCGCGGGGAAAATCAACGCCCTCCAGAGAAGAAAAGCTCATTGAGAGCAAAACTGGTGCGAGGGAACGAGCTCCTCTCTCTCTCTTGAATGGAAATGAAAGGGAATAAATGAGATATTCTTCGCGCGGGGAAATTATCCCGGCGCTCGCTGTTCCCGGCGGGCCGGGCGAGCCAAGCGCAGGCACCGGCTCGGGGCTCTGCGGGAGAGGGGAGGCAGCACAAACCCTTCGCTCGGGTGTTTCCAGCAAACAGGCAAGGACTAATCTTTTCTCAGGGCCCGGTTTGCCCCCAGACAGCAGCTGGAATTAAGACAGAGCACGGGGCTTTGTGACGGGAGAGGCTGGAGCGGATCCACCTCCCTGTGGGGCAGCAGCAAATGGAGCCATCGATCCCCACGGAAACATCAAACTATCGACATCAAACTATCGACTTCCTGACACGCCAGGACAACTATTTAACTATTGTCTCAGCAGCTGCCCCCCCTCTCTGGCAGTGCCCTCCCAGCAGGGACACCTTCTCCGTGCAGGATGCCGGGGATGCTCCGGGATAGAGCCGGGTTACTCCATCTGTGTGTTGGATTCGTGGTGACACAGGGGGGTCAGTCCTGAGCAGGCTGAGGCGGCACAGAGCCAGGAGGGGGCACAGCTGCCCCCAACTGACCCAGGGGTGTCCCAGAGCAAAGGATGCCACGCTCAGCAATGACAGTTCGGGAAGCAGGAGGAAGGGAGGGATGTTTGGAGTGATGGTGCCTGTCTTCAAAGAATCACAGAATGGTTTGGGTTGGAAGAGACCTTAAAGCCCTCCCAGTTCCAACCCCTGCTGTGGGCAGGGACACCTTCCACTACACTAAGTTGCTCCAACCTGCCCTTGGACACTCCCAGGGATCCAGGGGCAGCCACAGCTTCTCTGGGCAACCTGGGCCAGGGCCTCTCCACCCTCCCAGCCAGCAATTCCTTCCCAATATCCCACCTAACCCTGCCCTCCAGCAGCTTAAAGCCAAGTCACCACCACCCATGACAAAGCCCTGCTACTCTGGGCTGGCTGAGCACCTGCCCTGGGAAGCAGGGACTGAGTGCCTGAGTTTTCTCGGGGTGTGTGTCCAGTTTTGTCAGCCTGTTAAGCTGCTTTGTCTCACTCCACCAGGTTTTTTCAGTTTTCCCCTTCTACTTCTCCCCAGACACACACCGAGACCCAGGGGCTGGTGCCAGTGGAGGAGGGTGGGCTGGAGGGGCTGGGGTCACGTTCTCAGCCACGAGATCCTGCTGTCCTGCCCTTCATTCCTTAAGTTGTCCAGGCAGAGAAGTCGGAGATAAGCAAGAGGTCTCCTGATGCAGAAGGGCAAAACAGGCCTTGTTTGCACCAAATGTGACACAGCAGCTGAGGAGGTCTGATGTGTTCCTTGCAATTCCTGAATCCTTCACCCCTGACCACCTTCCCTTCTCTTCCCAGGTTCCTTCCCAGCCTCTGCCAGCTCCTTCCTGCTGTCTCCTCCTCCAGTGTATGGTTTGCATCCCACCCCTGGCCATTGGCTCTCCCCTCACAGCACCCACAGCAGGAATGGCACCCGTGCTCCCAATCATTCCTTCAAGTGTGTTTTAAGTGTGATGCTCCTTTCCCTTTCCAGGTGGTAACATCCTGAGTCTCCTGGCAGCACTCTGTGGGCACTTCAGTAAATGCCAAGATTTCTCTGCACACCTTTTCCTTTAGAAGCACAACGGGATTGCCCTTTTGTAACACGGATTTTTGTGCACTCCCACTTCCAAAGGGGCTCCTGCGATTCACTGGGAAAAACAGCCTGTGAGAAATGTCAGTGCCTGCAAATCCCGAGGGGCACAAGGGGTCGAGGCTGACCCACACGTGGTACCAAGGCCCTTCATTATTGTGAGAAGCACAAGAACTCAGCTCTCCCACTTCTTAGAACAAGACCACTGGCACCCAGAAAAAGGAGCTATACATTTCTTGTTTGATCAGTCACAGGTTGGACTCGATGATCTTAGAGATCTTTTCCAATCTAAATGATTCTGTGACTATCCCAGTGGCAGTTGAGAATCGTGTTTCAAGGTCTCCTGCCATTAAAAATCAGAATAAACTCTGAGAGTCTTCATGCATTGCTTTGATTGGGTTGAGACCATCAACCACAGGGTGAAAGATTTCGGATGTCACAGCCTCAGGACATAATTACCTACAGCCTCAGGACACCCCACCATCCTGTCACACCTCAGGCCAATCCTGCCCAGCCCTTTAAACCAGCGCATCCCAGAAAATACAACCTTTCACCACCCAAACAATTAGACACCGCTACAAATAACAGGGAAGTCCCACACCACGACCCGGAGGCATCACCCCTCCACTTTCCCAGAGGAAAACACCGACCCTAAAGGCACAGACCAGCAGAACCCCCCCAGCAGTTCCCAGCCCTTCCCTGGATCTGCCCCGAGCGTCTCCACACCGCGCAGGGAATAAACCCCCCACCGGGTCCTGCTCTGCCCCAGCAGCCCTGGGTGGGGTCAGTGGCAAGGCAGGATTGTCCCCCATGTCCTCCATGTCCCCCCATGTCCCCCCACGCCCCCTCACCCGGCGGTGCCTGGCCCAGCCGTCGGGGCAGAGGCAGTACCGTGCTCCCGGCTCGGGCTCGTCCCCGCTTGTCCCTGCGCTCCGCCAGCCACCGGCCCAGGGAGGAGCCCATGGCCCCGTGCTCTCCGTGCCCCTCTCACCCCGGATCCAGCTGCTGGGAGGTTGCACACGCAGGCTCCTCTCTCACCCTCTGCCAGGGAACGTCGATCCGTGCCGGGCGAGTCCCAACGCCGCCGGCGCCCCGGCATCGCTCCAGCATCGCTCCAGAGAGCGGCTGAAGCGAGCACGTCCCCCACTCTCAGCCCTCCTGGCACTGCCCCTTGGGCTGCCCCCACCTCCTGCTCACCCACCACACCCCCCTGAGCTCCTCTCCTGCCCCCCCTAAATTCCACGGTGCCCACAGGGCCCTGGGAAAGCGGCACCCAAAGGAAACGCTCCCGACGGAGGAGCGGAGACGCAGGATCTCAGACGCGGGGTTCGACCGGCAAGGGGTGGTTTAAAAATAAAGAAACAACGTGAAGGAGGTTTGGGGTTAAGTAGGAATTAAAGTGGAGATGAATTGAATATTTAACACAGCCTGTCTGGGGCTGCTGAACACCCGCAGGGAAATCCCGGGGTGCTGCCACCGGCTCTCCCAACGCCAGGAGCCCCCAGCGCTCCCTCCAGCAGGAGAACTCCCAACTCCCCTGGCAAGGCTCAGGAAGACCATGATTCACGTTTCCTGGCGCCAGGGAGATGCTGAGAGCTTTCCAGATCTGCTGCCTGGATATTCTTATGCCACCAGACAGAAGCCTCGTGACTTTAATCTGCGTGAGCCAGACCCGAACCACATCAGCGTTTTGTTCTGCGCTTCTGCAGCTCTGCAAACCCACCACAGAGGGCCTGCTCCTCTCCACAGCCTCTGGGGGAGGTCAAGCCCTTTGGAAGAAGGTTTTCTCCCTCTCTGCTCCACGTTTGTGGCTCCACCAGGTTCAGCTCTTGCTGTTCTACCTATTAGTTTAACACCCACGGACATTGCCTGCCTGTCTCCTGCAGAGCAGATGTGACCACCACACAGACTGGCACAGGAGCCAGGGACAGATGCCCCATGCCCAGCAGCAACATGGGCTGCCAGGAGGCTGAGGAGGAGCCACAGGGCTGCCAGGAGGCCGAGGAGGAACCACAACCATCACCTTGCACAGAGGGTTTACAAGGAGCTTGTGATAACCAGCAACAAGAGATCCTGGCCAGTTCCACATCCCTCCTAAACAAGAACCCCCAAAGCCTCTCTGCACAGGCCCCCCAGCACAGATCCATCCCCAGGAGCCTCTCCAGGTGCTGCCAGAGCCCATCTCCTCCCTCCTGTCCTCTATTTCCCACACACCGCTGGTCCCAACCTCCCAGGAACCACCAAAGTCCCCCCGTGCCACCTCAAGGCACAATTATGAGTGGCAGCAGAAACCTCCTGGTGGTTCCAGACCTCTCCACAATTCCTGTCCTTAATTTCTCAGGGAAGAAGTGGCTTCATGGGACAGGGGACCAACGCAGCTGCCCAGGGGAGGGGAAATGTGAGAGGGCCCTCCAGCTTTGGTCCCCTTTAACATCTCTGACCCTCCAGGTGGGGCACCCCTGGCTGCAGAGCCCGGTGGGTTTGGGGCCTTCTCTCCTCCCAGGAGACGCCCACACAGCCCCTGCTCTCCAAACATCCCAAAGGTCTGTTCACTGCTGACCCTGACAGGCTTCAACCGCTGCCCACGACACGAGGGGGCTGCAGGAGACCAGGAACACTCCCCACTTCCCACACGGATCCCAGCAGTGAAAGCACGACCCAAAGAGCCGGGTTACAGCTGGAGACAAGGCAGCTGGAGGCAGAGGCTGGGGGAGGGACGCCGAGCTCCTCAATGTGCCCCATTGTGCTCTGCGACTCCTCCGTGCTGGGGAATGAAGCTGCTCTTCGGGAGGCCCATCACGAGTTCCTCGGCCTCAGCACCCCATGGATGCCGTCCCCGCGCCTTCCCACCCGACCCAACCACGCTCCTGCCTGCTGGGACACAATCCAGGCAGGTCTATCCCTGTGTGTGCACCCACCACGGCTCCACAGGGGCATCCTCAACTGAATCACCCGTGTCTTGGCACACACCACCCACTTCCCGGGACTTCTTCGCAACCTGATAACCAGGGAGGGGGCTGAAACATCCCCAGATCCCCTCTGGGTGGAAGGAGCCGGCGGGGCTTTGAGCTTGGCAGGCAGACTGCAGCCTTACCTTGGTGTGGAGCTTGGCAAACTGCTTGTCATCCAGCAGGGCCTGGGTGTACACACGGCGCTTGTACCGGAACTGTGGGAAGGAACAGGGACAGACGTGAGCTGAACAAATCCCACTCAGCGGCCAAACCGCCCCAGAGCGGCTCCAGCTCGGAGGAACACGCTCAGCCCGGGCCTGGAAACAACAACAGATACGGAATACGCTGTTCCCCATCATCGTTAGCCCTGATGGTTAATTGTTTTCCTCGTTAAAAACGTCCTGACTGGTTTTTTCAGATGAATCTGTCTGGCTTCGGCTTCCAGACGGTGTGGGCTTTGTTCTGCTCCTTCCCAACTAATTAGGGATCTCTCTAGCAGCAGAATGGTTTTCCCAGGGTGGTTCTTACACTGTGGCCTGGAGCTGGAGCTGACTTCCTTGGATACAGGCTGAGCTCTGAATCTCACTGAGGGATCTTCTCTTCCATCCTCAGGACATTCGTGCTGCTCTTTTCCGTGCTGTGCCGCTTCCCAACATCCTTTCAAGTGCACTGACCACCCACACAGCACTCCAGTACCAGACACTTCCACCCAAACCTTCCCAAAACCCCCTCACTGCTGGCTGAAGGATCAGAGGGTCAGCTGGGCCACAGCATCTCACCAGGAATTGCTGATGGGCTTCTGGGGCTAAAGAATCAAAAATTTCCTTTGGAAATTTTGTTTTCCACAGTGAGAGTCCTTCCTGTGCAAGCCATCCTCGTCCCTGGATATCCATGGAATGGTTTGGTTGGAAGGGACCTTACAGCCCATCCAGTGCCACCTCCTGCCATGGGCAGGGACACCTTCCATGACCCCAGGTTGCTCCAAGCCCCGTCCAACCTGCCCTTGGACACTTCCAGGGATCCAGGGGCAGCCACAGCTTCTCTGGGAAACCTGTGTCAGGGCCTCTCCTCCCTCCCAGCCAGCAATTCCTTCCCAATATCCCATCTCTCCCTGCCCTCTGGCCCTGGGAAGCCATTCCCTGTGTCCTGTCCCTCCAGGCCTTGTCCCCAGTCCCTCTCCAGCTCTCCTGGAGCCCCTTTAGGCCCTGCCAGGGGCTCTCAGCTCTCCCTGGAGCCTTCTCTTCTCCAGGGGAACATTCCCAGCTCTCCCAGCCTGGCTCCAGAGCAGAGGGGCTCCAGCCCTGGCAGCAGCTCCGGGGCCCCCTCTGGATTCACTCCAGCAGCTCCACATCCTTCTTACACTGGGGGTCCACAGAATTCCAGGTGGGCTCTCCCAACAGGAATGTTTGTATTTGGCTCAGAGCACCCTTTGGATGTGACCCCCCCCCCGCTCGGAAATTTATATTCTCTGTGAAACTTTGCTGCCACCTGACTTTAATCAGCAGCAATTTTCCACTCACCCCCACATCCCTGGGGCACCAAAATCCAGCCTGACACCATTCCCTGAGGAACCCCCCCCAGGATCACAGTGACAGCTGCCTTTTGTCACCGATCCCTCAGCCGGTGCCACTCATCCTGCCCGAGTTTCATGTGCTAATCCTGAACCTGAGGATCATGTCGAACAGAATCGAGTACCCCCAAGTGGCTGCTACCTTTGTGTTGTTATCTCTATCAAGCAGAATTACAATTTCCTCAGGGAATGCAATTGGATTTGTTTGACTAGATCTCCTTTCAAGGCACAAATTGCATTCAGAGATTTTGAATTGCTGCGAACTTAATCCTCCATCAACATTTCCATTATTTCAGCTGGAACTGACACCAAGTTATCTTTGGACTGCAGTTACTAAGCTCATCCCACTTACTTTTCAGTGCTGGCAAAATATTAGCACATTTCAGTCTATCACAAGCCTGTTCTACTGGGCACACGTTTGCTCACGGAAAATTGAGATTTTTCCATCATTCCGAGGTGAAAGTTGTGTTTTCCACACGTTTACAGGCGTTGGCCCTTCGTGGGTGCCAGGCAAAATTCCCACCTGAGGAGAGTCACCTTCTTGCTGAACCCTGAGGGCTCTTTTAGCAAAAAACCTAAAAATCATAAAATCCCAGAATGGTTCGGGTTGGAAGGGATTATCAAGGATCAACCTCATTCCAAACCCTGCCACAGGCAGGGACACCTTCCACTAAACCAGGCTGCTCCGAGCTCACCCAGCCTGGCCTTGGACACTCCCAGGGACGGGGAACCCACAGTTTCTCTTGGCAAATCCTGGCATTACGGGATTTATGCCTCGTGCACAGATTCCGGATTTTCGGTTTTCCGGCAGGATTCCCCGGCTCTCAGCCGCCAATCCCATCGAGTCACGAAGAATCAAAATGACACACAACAAATCCCCGTGTCAAGCCTGCATTTGGATGGGCGTGTGAAGACGTTAAGCGTGGACATTATGCTAAATTATACAAAAAAAACACTGTGCAAGGAACATTAAGGAATTTACCACCTCCCAGGTCTATTTGCAAAGCGTTCCTAATGCCGTTCCAAATGTTTTTGTCTACACCGAGACGAGTTTGCCAAGAAATTGTGCTGCACTTTCTTTCCAAATTAGGCAGGATTAGGTATAATAACAGCGTTTGCTCCTGCATTTGTAAGAGCTTGTGCAGCTTAAGTGTGTAATGCTTCCTAAACAGACTTTGGGGGGGAAGTACAGCACAAAAACCCTAAATTTAGCAGTCCACCAGCAGGTAACTGGAGTCCCATCACAGCCAGCTCGTGGTGATGTTTAACAGAGCCCAGGAAATGCTGAGGTCACCCTGGAATAAACACCTGAATCCCAGGAAATGCCTGCAGGGAGTGGGAACACACGAATTCAGTGAGTTTCTGCTCTTTCAGGGTCACAGGATGGGCTTGAGGATGCTCCAGGGCCACCACACAGGTCAGGTCCACGCAGGGGTTTGCTGCCAAAGCACTGCCTTGTGTTCCAGCCCCTCCAGTAACCGAAATAAAGCATCAACCCAGAGTCCTTCAGCCTCATATCCAAAGATCTCCCCGGGATTCTCCCTCTGCTCCCCCAAAACCAGCTCTCCTCCTGCTGTTGCCACTTGCCAGGACAGTTAAGCCTCGCTAAAAAATAACCCCAGGAATTTTGATGACCGGGGTGAAAGGCAGGGAAGCTGCTCCACGGGGTGAAAGGCAGGGAAGCTGCTCCACGGGGTGAAAGGCAGGGAAGCTGCTCCACGGGGTGAAAGGCAGGGAAGCTGCTCCACGGGGCTCCGAGGGATGTTCCGGAGCTCTCGAGCAACTCAAACTCCGAGGCTTTTGCCTCCCCTTTCCCTGGGTGGATTGTCCAGGAGCAAACACACTCCCACACAAATATCTCTGCCCTCGCTCCTGGAAGGGAAAGGGGAAGAAAACCAGGAGGGGGGACAGGGGGGATTGATATTTGTGGTGCCTACAGGGACTGGGGTGGAGGGATCAGGGAAGTCCTGTCGTAGATATCTGTGTGTTTGTGGCTGTGGATGTGTATATAGAGAGACACACGTTTAAATAAGGAGATAAATGAACTTAAATAAGAGAAGGAAGGGGGGCAAAGAATGGAAAAAAGGGGAAAGAAGGAAAAAAAGGGGAGAAAAAGGTGAGAAAAGGGGGGAAAGGGGGGAAAAGGGGGGGGAAGGGAGGAAAAGGGGAAGAAAAAAGGGGGGGAAAGGGGGGCAAAGGGGGGAAAGGGGGAGAAAACGGGGGGGAAAAGGGGGGGAAAAGAAAGGGGGAAAAGGGGGAAAAAAAGGGGGAGAAGGGGAGAAAGGGGGAAAAAAAGGGGGGGAAAAGGGGGTAGAAAGGAGGAAAAAGAGGGGAAAAAGGGGGGGAAAAGGGGGGGAAAAAGGGGGGAAAAGGGGGGGGAAGGGGAAAAAAGGGGGGAAGGGAGGGAAAAAGGTGGGAAAGGGGGGGAAAAAAGGGGAAAAGGGGGGAAAAAGGAGGGAAGGGGGAAAAAGGGAGGGGGAAGGGAGGGAGGGGGAAAGAGGGAAAAGAGGGAAAAAGGGAAAGAAAAAAAATAAGAAAATAAAATAAGAAAATAAAATAAGAAAATAAAATAAGAAAATAAAATAATAAAATAAGAAAATAAAATAGGAATGTAAAAAAATAATAAAATAATAAAATAAAAAATAAAATAAGAGAATAAAATAAGAATGTAAGAAAATAGGGAAATAAGAAAATAAAATAAGATAAAATAAGAAAACAACATAAAACAAAAGATAAGAAATATGAAATAAAATAAAATACGCAAAATAAAAAAAATAAGAGAAAATAAATGAAATAAGAGAAAAATAAACCAGAAATGGAACTGAATCTGCTCGAGCAGGGGGTTACCTCCAGGTAGGGCACGGGCGTGTCGGGGTTCAGGGGGTACTCCCGCAGCAGCCGCTCCTCGTCCAGGAACTTGCCGGCCCTGCCGTTGAAGGCCGGCTGGAAGAGCCCGTAGTTGAGCACATCCTTCAGGCTGTGGTTCAGGGTGCACAGGATGCGCTGCTTGGACACCCACACGGGAACGTCGGGGTTCAGCCGGAGACACTTCTGTGGGAGGGAGACACGGGGGGAGTCAGGGCGGGGGGTCCTGCCCCCAGGAACGGCCCCGAGAAGGATAGAACGGGAATGCCGCGGTCTGCTCCGGGTCAGGGCGTTATGGGAAGGGGGGAAACGGAGTTAGAGAAGGATGAGACGTGGTAAATCCCCCCTAACGCGCTTCGTGGGGTTCAGGCGGGTTCAGACCAATGGAATATGAGAAGTGTCCAGGAATTTTTTTATGGCAGCAAAAGTTCATTTAAAAATCTCCCAACGGGGTGAAAAGATTTCTCTGTCGATTTTTCTGTTGGTTTCCCCACCTTTCCAGAGGTGTGCAAACAGAGGGATGACGGAGCACCGTGACCTCTGCCAGGACCTGGAGGCACCAGGAAGGTCTCCCAGCGGGAGGAAGAGAGGAGGACCCTCTGCTTCCCACACTGCCCACCTCACCCCGTGGCCACAGTGGGTTTTCCCGGCACCAAAAGCCACTTCCCTCCCTCCTCAGGACCCAAGTCATCCAACATTTCTATCCCATCACCCTCGGGCTGTGTTTCCTCCTGCTGCTCTCCCAGCTGGCTGCAGGGCCAGGCTGGTGTCCGTGTCCCCTCTGTGGTGGCAGATGCTGCTGTTGGGAGCATCTGCTCTTGAGGGTGAAGAGCAAGAGGGCAAGAGGATGTCGAGCCAGCAACAGCCTGTCCCTGACAGCAGCCACCGTGTCCCCTCCCGGTCCCTGGGTCTGCATTTTGCCCCTCAGCCTTCCCTTGTTCCTGTCACTTTGTTTTCCTCCTGGTTCACTCCTCCTCCACCCTTGAGAAGACAGTTTAGTCTTGGCTGAGGGGTTCATTTCAAAGCCTGTCAGCCCAGTTTAATGCTCCCGATTTCTGGAAGGCAAAGCCAACCAGCCAACCCCCTGCCCTGCTGTGCTCCTCAGCAGCTGTGGAATTCCCAGGCTGAGCCCTGCTCTGCTCATCACACGGATGATGTGACTCTTCTGTCTCCACACTTCTCCCCACCCTTGTTCTTCCCCCGGCTCCCATCTCCGTGGGACACCGGAGGCACGTGGATCCACACACCTCGTCCAGGAAGGTGCCGGGCAGCCGAGGCCTGAACACAGACAATGGACTGACAGACACGCAGTGTCCATCAGCTGGAGGGCAGGAGGGCTCTGCAGAGGGACCTGGGGAGGTTGGAGAGTTGGGCTGATTCCAGCGGGATGAGGTTCAACCAGGCCAAGGGCCGGGTCCTGCCCTTTGGCCACAACAACCCCCGGCAGCCCCACGGGCTGGGCCAGAGTGGCTGGAGAGCAGCCAGGCAGGAAGGGAGCTGGGAGTGGGGATGGACAGGGAGCTGAACAGGAGCCAGAGTGTGCCCAGGGGGGCAAGAAGGCCAATGGATCCTGGCCTGGCTCAGGAACAGGGTGGCCAACAGGGCCAGGGAAGTGATTCTGCCCCTGGACTCAGCACTGGGGAGGCCACCCCTGGAGTGCTGTGTCCAGTTCTGGGCCCTGAGCTCAGGAAGGCCCTGGAGGGGCTGGAGCAGGGGCAGAGAAGAGCAGCGAGGCTGGGGAAGGGACTGGAGCCCAAGTGCTGGGAGGAGAGGCTGAGGGAGCTGGGGGGGCTCAGCCTGGAGAGGAGGAGGCTCAGGGGAGACCTCCTCACTCTCTGCAACTCCCTGCCAGGAGGGGGGAGCCGGGGGGGGTTGGGCTCTTTTCCCAGGCAACCATCAGCAAGACAAGAGGGCTCGGTCTCAAGCTGTGCCAGGGGAGGTTTAGGTTGGATATCAGGAAGAATTTCTTTGCAGAGAGGGTGCTCAGCCATTGGAATGGGCTGCCCAGGGAAGAGGGGGATTCTCCATCCCTGGAGGTTTTTAAGCAGAGACTGGATGTGGCATCAGTGCCATGGGCTGGGAACCACGGCGGGGTTGGATCAAGGGTTGGGCTGGATGATCTCGGAGGTCCCTTCCAACCCAGCTGATTCTATGATTCTATGGATCCCATCCCACCTTCTCCACGTGTCCAGCAGCACTTCCAGCAGCTGCAACAGACCCACAGCACCAGAGCTCCAGCCACAGCCACACCAAACCCCACCAGAGCAGGAGGACACTCACCCGGGCAGCAGCAGCACCCAAACATCTTCACCCATCCCCTCAGCCCCACCCCTGAGTTAATTCAACCCCAGGGCCCGTTCTGGTCCCTCATCCCCTTCACAGCACCCTGTGAAATGAATGTTTGGAACAAATCAAACAGCTCTGCCCAGTGAGCAGCACCGGGGGGGAGGGTGCCCATGTCACCCCACACGGTGCCACCTGCCCAGTAGGCACAAAGCCACGGAGCTGATGTTACAGCTCATTTCAATCCAGCCTGGATAATTTGCACTTGGCAGCACTTGTCCTGCAAACAGAGGTCAGTGTTATCTGTTCCATCGCTGACCGTGTAGGAGAGCTGGAATTCTCACCCGCTGGATCCGAGGGAGAGGCAGCCAGTGTGAGAAACCAGGAGTTAAAAACCTCTGAGAAACACCAGCTCTGCCCTCCTTCAGTCCTCCAAGAGAAGCAGAATATGCATCACGCTTTCAGGGACCCATAAATAAAAAATAAGCGGTGTCTGTACCTTCCTACTTGCTTATTTAGCCTCTAGGACTCTTCCTCGCTGTCACATTACGTCGTTGAGTACGAAAATGTGTAGCTGGTGGGAAAAGCAGCCCTGGCAGGGACAAGCACTGGCTGAAGGAAGCTCCAGGCCTAAAACTTACTCAATTTTAGACTCAACTTTGTACTGCAGTCATACTCGGGGGAGTGTTAACATTCCATATTTAAGAGAGAAAACAACTTGCACCCTGCAGAGAGGCTTCTTCTGCCTCTGAAAGCAGCAGGAAGAAAATGTTGACTTCAGCTGAGAGGTCACAGGCTCTGCACAGCCCTTTGTGGGCACAACCTGGGGCTGAAATGGCTCCTGTGGCTCAGCTTCTCCAAACACCATCACCTCCAAACAGGAATCCTGCAACTAAACTTGTGCTGCACCAAAAGCAGGTCAGGGGAAGGGGTTCTCCCCCCTCTGCCCCGCTCAGGTGAGACACCCCCCACCCTGCAGAGCTGCCTCCAGCCCTGGGGAACAGCCCAGCAAGGACATGGAGCTGCTGGAGAGAGTCCAGAGGAGGCACCAAGAGAATCCCAGGGCTGGAGCAGCTCTGCTGGGAGGGAAGGCTGGGAGAGCTGGGATTGTTCAGCCTGCAGAAGAGAAGTTTTGGGGTGACCTGATTGTGGCCTTTCAGTGCCTGAAGGAGCCAACAGAAAAGATGGAGAGAGACTGTTTTCAAAGGCCTGGAGGGACAGAACACAGGGAATGGCTTCAAACTGAGATTAGACATTAGGAAGAAATTCTTCCCTGGGAGGGTGGGGAGGCCAGAGAGGCCCAGAGAAGCTGTGGCTGCCCCTGGATCCCTGGAAGTGTCCAAGGCCAGGCTGGAGCAACCTGGGCTAGTGGAAGGTGTCCCTGCCCATGGCAGGGGGTGGAACAAGATGGTTTCTAAGGTCCATCCAACCCCAACCATCCCATGATCCGTGAGGGATCCCAAGGAGCCAAAGGAGGCACCCGGGGTTCAGAGAAGGGCAGGGTGGGAGCAGCTTTCAGAACAAGCTGCTCTCACTCTGGTTTGCAGTTTGCAGTTACAAGGGATCATTTCTTCCACACAATTATAAGCTCTGAACACAATAATCAAAGCCTCAGGAACAACTCCTGAAAGGAAACAGTGCAGCTCCTCGGCAGCACGGACGACTCCTTCTCGAAGGAAGAAAGAGCTCAGAGCTTCGGATTCAACCCTCAGCAATGCACAGGATGACAGACAAGATCTATTCAATACTCAATCTATTCAACTGCAATAATAACAATAAAGAACTTACATTCAGCAATCCCTTAAGAGCCAAAAAAAGCCCCAAATTCTTCATCGACGAGCAACACAAACGAGGAAGGGCTGAAAGGAAATTAAAAAGCAGCAGCTGAAAAGGTAACGTGCTGCAGGCAGCAGGGAGTGCATTTCATAAGATCACGGTAGAAACTCGGAGTAAAGGCACGGCAGAAATGAAAAACCAGCCTCCAAGAGGCCCCTGCACAAAGATGGAGCAGCCAAGCCAACGGAGCAGAGGAATCCATCAAAAGGGAGCTTTCCTTCAGAAACGGGAGTCGCCTCTGAATGGGAACAGCAAAAGTGAACAATCCTGCAAACCCCCCACGGTCCTGAGGCCATCAAAACACGCCAAGGGAGGGGGAGGGGGGGCCTGATGGAAAGTGGGGGAGGCGACCGAGGCAGGACTCACCCGTGGGGGAGTCCTGGAGCTCCTCCCGTGGGGATCAGCTGCAGGATGGGCTCCTTGCGGCAGATGCCAACGCAAAGGAGAGGAGGAATTAACACTCCCCATCCATGCCAGTGCCAGTTGTGCCCTGCAGACCCTCACACCTCCGAGGAGAGCCTGGAGGGAACCCCCAAGTCCCAGAGCAAGGCTGTCCAGCTCACACACATTCCCAAAGTGCTTTCAGTACCATCCCCTGCTGCCATGGATTGAAATTCCAGAGGCAAGTGCTCCCTGGGGGAACCAACACAGAAGGCAGCAAACAAAGGTGAAGGCCAACCAGGTTTCCTGGCACGGGGGGGGGGGTTCACCAGCCCAGTGATTGGTGTGGAAAGGGCTGCTCTGACACTCCTGAGTTGGCAGCACATCCAGATCCTCCTCGTCACGTGCAGGGCTGGCGGCCCCGTCTGTCAGGAAACAACAGCAACAGGAAAAAGGTAAAGGGGAAGAAGGCAAAGGTGACAGAGGCACGGGATGGCCTGCACAGGACAAAGGCACCGTGTCACAGAGCCAGGCACAGCTCCTGGGACACCAGCACAGAGCTACAGGAACACTGTGCCCAAAGCAAGCAGGCCCAGGGGACAATTCCACCTTTGGGACACCAGCACAGAGCTACAGGAACACTGTGCCCAAAGCAAGCAGGCCCAGGGGACAATTCCACCTTTCCT